AGTGAGTTCCAGGAAAGGCTCCAAAGCTACACAGGAAAACCCTGTCTCGAAAAACCAAAAAAAAAAAAAAAATAGAAATTCTAAACATTTTTGAATAGACTATTGGAAGGTAGTGGGACTGGTTAGAGAAGGTGGATCATGGGGCTATGTGTGTGGGTACTGTATCTGGCTCTGGCCCCTTCCTGTTGCTTCTCTGTTCTACTTCCTCTCTGCCATGAGGTAAACCCATGAGGCCCATTTATTTCAGAAGAAGAGTGGAAAGTAGAATTGAACTTTTTAATCGTCTTATCACCACGACAAGCAAGGACACACAGTTAACGCTTGCCTAGATAGAAATGACATTTTAATCTACAAGTTTCCTTTCTATTTTGTTTTTTCCCTTTTTCAGGGGGCTGGGGCTGCTAGCCTATCTGGGACTTGTAGCTGTATCTCTCAAGAGCTCTTTTGTATATCCTATCTGCTGTTCCCTGGGAGTCCTCGCCACGGCTCTGAGTTCCTTCCGGCACCTGAGAGGACTCTTGGCACGAAACCATTTTGCATTTTTGTTGAACGATGGAATCCTTTAAAAATGTATTACATTTTATTTTATCAATTAGTGTGTATGTAGGGGAAGGTGAGTCACACAGGACATGTGTGGAGGTCAGAGGGCAACTTGTGGAAGTTGGTTCTCTCCTTCCACCGTGTGGGTCCTGGGGTTTGAACTCAGGTCACCAGGGTTGGTAGCAAGTGCCTTAACCAGCTGAGTCATCTCACTTGCTTATGAGATAAAATCTTTCTGTATAGCCCAGGTGTTCCTGGGACACATGATTTCCTTGCCTCAGTTGCTCCAGTGCTGGGGTTCCAAGAGCTAGCCGCCACACTTACTATTGTTGGGGGGGTCATGGTATGTTCCCATTGGAGGCTTCATAATGTCTGAGTCTCTTTTCGTGATCTTGGCAGGTACTGGCCAAGATCTGTGAGTCATTGGATGTTACAATATGGCCATATTTGATCATTATTTTGGCGAGTACCATCCTTCTATCAAGAGATGGAGCCCTTGGAACTGGGGACATGGCTCAGTGGCTAAGAGCATGTACCCACTCTTACAGAGGGATGGAATTCAGTTCCCAGCGTACACACTGCATAGTTTACAACCACCTGTTAACTCCAGCTCCAGGGGATCCAGCGCCCTCTTCTAGCACCTGCACTCATGTGCCCATAACATAATTAAACATAAAAATTAAAATATTTAAACAAAGATTCCTCCCTTCATCCTGTTTAGCTACCTGGTAGGAGAGTCTGTGTAGGAAATGCTCCATTTTTTTCCCTCAGTTGCGTTTTCTCAAGGTAACAAATGAGTCCCCGTTCATGTGTCCCAGAGGTGCTCACACACTTTAATTATCACTGTGAGCTCATGGGCTTAAGCATATTCCGTAGTCTCAATCTACTGCTACAATTCCCTTTTGTTAAAGTTCAAATCAGACACTCCTAGTCAGGGAGGAAATTGCGTTATCTCCCGAGTCCTTTTGGTATGATCTTAGCAGCCATTCAGCAGATTCTGGCTGTCTCCTATGACAAAACATTTCACACTTCTCTTGCACAGGTTTTTTTTTTCTTCATCAGCTATTTCCCCGAGAATCCCTTTTTTTTTTTTTTAAAGTGGAAAATGAACTTCAAGACCACAGTTCAGACACTCTGTTCAGCGCTGTCTGGGTCAGTTTGTCGGGGTTTATATATAACCTTCTCAGTAGGCGGGCTGGGCTCCGTGTTTCCATCCAGAGGAGACTCAGGGCTTTGTGACTGTTCTTGGCCTCTGGATTACATGTGGGGTCAGTCAGTTAACGAAACACCTGAGGCAGGCTCACTTACGACGACGAAGAGGGGTTTGTTTATCCTATGGTTACCAAGACAGCGAGTGGAAAATATGTGGTGTGGGCTCTGGTGGAGTCCAGTGAGAAGGCTGTGTTCTAGATGCGGGCTCAGCTTGGGGGTTCTCAGCAGCCTCTGTGGGAGCTGACTAGGGTCCCTGATGCCCAGGGTCTCATGTCAGATGTCACTCTTCCAGAAAGTCCCTCTCCTTATTTAAATACTAGCCCCCCCCCAACCCATTCTTCTCCCTTTTGCTCGAATCATCGCTTCCTGTTTCTTTCTCCCTGACAAACTTCAGTGCTACATTATGTGATTATCAGTTTAAACAACAATAACAACAAAAACCTTTCTCTTTTCAGTGCTAGGGATGGAACCTAGGCCCTCACCATACTAGGCAAATGTTCTACAACCAAGCCATATCTCCAGATCTGCATATTTTATACAAGTGAAATTACACAGTGTTTGTCCCTGAGTGTGTTAGAATTCCTAGCCACTCCCTTGGCTACATGACCGAGTATGCACTGTCCAGTAGCCAGGCAAGATGCTTAGTCATCCCAGGGCCTTACGTCCCATGTAATCTGCACACAGTGTGATCATGTAATCTATGCACATTGAGTGCCGTAGCCACATAAGCCCATATGTGCATGTGTGTGGGTGTGGGTGGGTGGTGGGACCTATAAAAAAACCTATTTCTTCTCTCTTCTTGCATGGTCATTCCATAGGCCTATGTACACCCCTTCTATTCCCTCCCCTTAATAAACTTTTATAGTGGGTTTTTTGTACCTTGTGGTTTCTCTCACATGGTAAACATTGCGCCGCTTAATAAATAACAGTGTGACTGAACTCAAGGTCAGGATGTGTCAGAATCCCCTTGTAGGGACCGCCACAGATGTTCAACCATTATCTAGCAGGGGTTTGTCTAAGCTAGATTCTACCGTTTGGCTGTTGGGACTACTGCTCCTGTGCACGCAGGCTTACTTTTTCCTTTCTCAGTGAGATACTCAATATTCATGTAAATTCCTACTGTCCCCAAGCCCCATCTCCAAGGGGACAGCCCTACAGCCTGTCTCTGTCTGTGGAGACCCTTATTTGAGGACTTTCTCCCTGCCACCTCCAGACCATTGCCAAGCCCAAAGCACTGAACTGCATGCCTCCAGGTCACTAGATGGCGCTGGAGAGCAGTTTGGATTTGGCCTCCTAGAGGAAGCTCTCTTCTCTACTGGGCTAGGGAAGGATGCTCAGGCCAGGTGGGGTGGGGTGCCCTTTCAGTGTCCCTGTCTTGGGTCATGTGACCTTCCAACTTGGCAATGGTTTTGGATTTCAGATGCCTTTATTAGGCAAACCTCTGCAGTCTGGGTAAGAACAGAAATGGTTCTGGGTGTGTCAACATTGGGGAGGTTGCCGCAAAACCCTGCGTTTAAAACCAAGGTCCATCAACAAGCCATTTGGGTCCTCTCCACCTCCATTTCCCTCCTTGTAAAATCAAAGGTCACAGTGTCACAGGGTCAGCTTCTGGGAGGAGACTGCAACCTTCTGTCCTCACAAGTACTCCAGATTTCTTTTGAGGACACCAATCCTATTTTACAAGGGTTCTATCCTTATGATCTCATTTAATCGCAAATGTCCCTGGAAGGACCCTACCTCCAAGTGTGGTTACACTGGGGACTATAATCTCAACAAGAATTTTAGGGGTGACACATTCAGTCCCTAACTTTTCATAGTACAGGGGTGCAAGATACAGATCTTCCCAGGGGCAGCCCCCCCAATTCTAACAGAACAAGCCCCCCTCATATAGAACACTGAGCCTCCTACAGACTCTCCTATCCCCCACTTTTGAAAAGACCCTTCGCCTGCCATCTGTCAGGCCCATCCTCAGGGAATTCTTTCTTCGTAAAAACATCCAATTAGAGATACTAAATATGCAGTTTTAAAATATATTATTTGCACCTCAATTAAGTTGTTGCTGCTGCTGTTGTTGTTGTTGTTTTAAAACCATTGCTTTGGACTGAGCAGATGGCTCGGTGGGTAGAGTACCTGCCAGGCAAGCATGAAAACGAGAGTTCAGGTTCCCAGAACGCACACAAATGCTGGGCAGATGGGGTGGGCCGGGCCACCTGGAATCCCAGCACTTGGGAGGTGGAGACAAGATGCCTG